GTATAAAATTGCCACAAGTCATTATTAGTCATTATTAGTTATTATTTGGAATTTTTCTAATCCAGCACTATTTAATGGTCTACATGTTTTTTCTAGTTATTTTTATTACAAAACCCAATAATATTTTCTTTAATTTTCTGGACCACGTCTCACACGTATTCGTTTGTATAGGTCTTAAGTATGTAATATCAATATAGATATTTCTAGATACGTTTGAATAGTAATTTAGAGGTTAATAAATATTTTGTACCAAACAATTTTTGCCGAGACAGCTTTCAGTTTAATTTTAATTTTACTATGTATCATATATTATGATGAAATTAATCTAGAATTATTTAAATTGGTGGAAAAATATTTAAATTCATATTAAAATATCCAATTTGAAAAAATATTATGAATATGATCAGATATAGTACATGCGATTTGTGAACTTCAAATAAACTTATAATAATATTAAATGTAAACAGTTAACTTTGGTTCATCCTACTAAACATTGAGGCAAATTAAAATGTGCAATAACCAAATGTGTCGCTTACTATAATTCTAAGGAGAATTATCCAAATTATTTTTACGCAGGACTAGTATGAGACAGGAAGACGTATTGTTGTCATTTCAATTCAATTTGGCCATGGAAATGTGGTGAGATGTATTGGACCACCGAGAAATGGAATTAATGGGAAGATATATGACTAGAGGAATCTATGCCCGATGTTGAAGAAAACGTAAAAAGTAAATCACCTTTATTTAGTGACAATATGGTGTTGTCAAGAAATACGACTTATGAAGAGTAATCCTCACGTTTTAGAAGACTTTTAGAGTTTGTGAGTAAACACAAACGAAAACAATATGCACAATGACGTATATGATCACGTAAAAATTAATACTAAATTATCAAGCGTCATTTAGATATATATCTGTGTCATCACTTTTTAGTCATATTACTAAATCTTATAAAATCTTATGAAATCTTTAATCAGCCGTGTTCAAGAGAGTTATTGCGATACAACGATTTATTTTGGAATCATCGAATAACAAAACATTACATCACTGTTTTTTTTTTAAAAAACAAAGAATAGAAAAATGTTCATAAGACCATAAATTTAAAAGAAGATAAATATAAAATATGTCATTGACGAGTTTTGTGATTTTTTAAAAATTAAATACAGCTAACACCCGATAACAAATATAAAATCATTCGAAACGATACACAACACGCAATACTTCATATGCTTCAAACAGTTCGAAACTTTTTAATAAATTACTAGCATCAGGTTTTTAATTATACAAGTGATAAGAATGAGATATAGTTGCGTGTTATGGTTAAATATTATCAACTTTTTAATTGTTAAGAATTGTTAAATGTTAATAAATTAGTAAATGTTAAAATAAATTCAATAAATTAGCCATCAGTTTATTAGTGTTAAAATAAATAAATAAGTACTATACAACTCACGATAATATACGTTTTTATCTTAAATAAAAACCCACTCACTGTTATATTAACTTTGGTTTTAATTTGAGTAAATATACTCGTATTTTCCTTTAAATTGTAATTAATTATTTCTCAAATATAGTAATAATAAGTAATTATTATATCCTATAGATATGAATTATTTAACATACATTTCTTCATAACATTTTGAGGGATAATTTTTAAATTTAAATCATGCTTAATATAAGGTTTAGATTAAATAGAAATATAGTTTTTAACCAAACAATTGTATGGATATACAATGAGTTGGTAGGTACTTATACATTTTCCAAAAATTTTAATAATTTACTGAATTTTTAAGTTATTTAATATATTAAATATTACAAATTAACAATTATAAGGAATTGAATAAGTCCATTGATATGTACAAACGCTCACTTTAATTGCCGCATGGGTACATATAAATTTTATCTTTCATTTTATTAGAGCTTGACAGTAACTATGATCTTAATATTCTCTACAACAAATGTACAATAAAAATCTCTTATATAATTCTTTAGTTATATAATACCTAATTAATACCTAAATTAGTAGTCGAAAAAAACGTTGGGAATTTTTGGTTTAAAGGTTGGTGATCAAACTGTGAATATTCATTATATAAATAAAAATAATTCAATGTGTGCTACCACTGTGTATGTGAATATTATTATAATTCTTAAAATTAATAATATGTATAAAATAGAAGTTTTTAAAGTTAATTTATACTTAATTGCTTATTAAGTATAAATACATAATACTCGTAAATATAGTTAATAATACTTAGTATTAAATAAAATTATTTATTTAATGAAATACGGGTTTATAAAACGTCATACTTTGAAATATAAATGGTTTTAAAAGGATCTTTTTATTTTAGCGAGTAAAAAATATACAAAAACATTATTAATGGGTTTTCATTAGGTAATATGTAAGTAATAGGGCCATAAACTAGTAAGGAAGCCCCACGAGAAAAAATAAAAAAAATGACGTTATAACGAAACAAAAAGAGGACACTCATACTCGTTTATAAAAAAAGGGCTACGAGTGAGTGCATGTATTTACACCTGCAGGCATACACACACCCACGCAACTGTTGACTTATGCTGTACACAATGCAAACACTCATAAACATCTGGTAATATCATCAATATAATGTCGATATTCAAAATGTTTGATAAGTAGAAAAAAATTTTCAATACTGAGTAGATAATATAATAATAATAATAATAATAATAATAATAATAATAATAAAGGGAATCCATACAAGTGCGAACGGTCCTAAGAGCCAGAACTCGATAGAGTTCAAATATGAAAAACATTCTAATAATAAATTACACCTATGTTCTCAAATACGAAAATCGATAATACATATATTTCAAGTCTAAAGTTTTGTTTAAAAATACACGAGACAAATATTCGAAAGACGTATGAACATTAAAAAATGATTTTACATCAATTTTTTACAAGCGAAATTAATTGTATTTTACAAATATTTTTCAAAAATATTTAATTTAATTTTTAGTTTAAATTTAAGTTAAAAAAATTATAATTACGAATCAGAAGAACCTTAAAATGTATTTTCTATTGATGAAATTATGCTACATCTAAACATATTTTGTGATAAAACTTTTTATTGTTAAGTATTATTATTTAGAATTAAGGACACGTTTTCTATAAAGATGAAAATATAAAAAACATAAACATTTTTTATTCAGAATTATTAAACATAATAGCTCTAATTCACGGGTAGTGTACTGTAGTGCGATCTTTTCAATGTAACATGATGAATATTCAATATTGTAAATCATCTGTTGTTTGGCAAAATAATAGAGCTGATAAAATAAAATATTAATTTTATCAAAAGTGAACAATATAATATACATTCATTAGCAAGTTCTAAAAAAATATTTTGTACATGTTACATTTTTGTTATCACAATATTTTACATCGTTAATATGAATTAAGGTCCAACCGGTGTGCAGTGCAGTGTGTCATAAATTTTTAAGCAGTCCATAAAAACAATTCAATTGGATTTAAAATCAACAGTTTATGTTTGTTTTCAGAATATAATTTCAATCTAGCAGTTATTTTTTATAAGCTCTTAATTTAAATTTCTTTCCTGAAATCGATTTTATTTTCAAATAGTTTATAGAGATAAACATGTATATTACCCTTTAGTTTTAAAACATATAAGCATATAGATATTTTCCAGTCAATAAAACTAAATAAATACATTTAAAATAATTTACATATTTCCTTTCTAACAGCAATAGTCGTGATATCTACAGACTAAACACTTATTTTGTTTACGTCACTTAAAATTGTTTATCAGTCGTTTTACCTGCAATAGTTCTGTATATCACATCACTTCCTGAACGATGACACCACTCTATATCTTAGTAAATATCAATACTTTTTTACGATTGTATTTTTTTTTTAGTGAGGGGAGATATAGACCAACGATAAAATAATAAGTGTAGTAAAAGAAACAATATCTGCCTTGCTCATAAGTCACGCGTTATTCTATATAACACGCTTTGAGAATTATTCGTTGAAAAATTATTTAGCTGAAATATTCAAAAGAAAATCGTGAGAGATATTTTAGTGTTGGAAATATTATTAAAGTACAGTTAGAGGCGTATTGCTAATTAAGTAGAGGTATGATCGTTATTCTAGTGTCAATAACTATGGTGTATAAAAAATACCATGCTTAAACATAATGGTTAAGAGCGAGTATGTTTGTATTATTGTAACTTGAACGATATTTTTTATTTCTATTGTACGATTATTGTTTTAGAAATTTTATTCTCTTAATAAAGCTATGAATAGGACGACATTTTTTTTTCAATAAAAAAATCATATGATTATCTAATTTAATTTACAGTTCGTATGGTGTGTTATATGATACTACGATTGAGTACGTTACATCGGTATATGATACACTGACTTTTATAATTACACGATATTTATCTTTTAATATAATATATAACATATTATTATCGGTGTGGATTGTGCTAACTCTAAATGAAACAACATAACCATAATAGTTGTTTCTTTTGCATACAATACTCAACACCGACCTTTCGCACAGGTTAAAGGGAATAGTGGAAGTTATTGTTTCAAAACGCAGTTTCATTGTGTTTAACTTAACCGTCTTTGCCGAGATGGTATGAATAAAGAGAGACATTCCATCTGCTACGAGTACCTACTGTAATTGACCGCCAACACTAGAACCCCGAGCTCACCAACCATAATGTACTTTTATTTATCTTCAACCGGCTGTGCAACGGACTATTACCATGTTTCGGTCAAACGATGATGAGGTCACGTACATGTTCTGATGTGCTCTGTAAACTGTGGCGGAACGAGTTGCTTCGGTTGCAATTGAATTAATGCAATATGGTAGTATAATACATATACTACTGAACGCGAATCGAAAATACCACTCTATGTGGATTGTATATTTCTTACTCGACCAAGCCGGAGTATAACGCCTAAACTATATTAATAATGGAAATACAAGACTTACCGGTTAACGGCGACTGGAAATTGTAGTTGGTCGACGACAATGATGGTGATGTTGACATGGATGGTGCTTGTCCCGGATGCTGCGCCATTCTCCTGCGGTTGTATTCTCTACGTGGCGGCGTTGATACATTTTTATATCCTGGTGGTCTGTACCTAGCTGACTTCACATTAAATTGATGTACACTATGTGCTTTATATATTCCAGTTAAAGGACTTGGAGTCGGCACCGGGGTAGTGGGAAGCCTGGGTAACGAATTGGTATTTGATGAAGTTATAGCTTGTTGGAGACTTCTAGGCAACGTGGTGGATTTAGAGCCATTTGTCGGTCCACCGTCATCACTATCACCACCAGAGTCTCCACTATCAGGAACGCTCCCATGTCTCCTACCATTCCTCCAAATACGGTCTTCGACGCTTCCTCCTATACTTCCACATGAACGAACTCGGTCCAATTGTTCACGACTGCTGTTGGCACTTTTTATTAACAAATCACCGGCAGAACGTCTCTTAGCAGCGAGCGTTACACAACTCTCTCCACTCGATGTTAATCGGGTCCGTGAGTCTGACATCATTAATGTCGACTCGAAACTACCTCTCCAGCTGAATCGTTCGTTGTCACTGGCCTCTTGTCGTGTTTCTTCTAAAAGCGGATCGTGTGACTTAGACCTAGGAAGAGGGCTATTAAATTGTTCTTCTCCTTCGTCTTCTTCCTCCGTTGTGGTCGAAATTATCGAAGGTTTGTGATGATGAGATCGTCTGTGATACCTAGAAGCTCGTGGCGTACCAGGGTTCTCGGAGACTGCGTGCATCAATGCAACGAGCCGACTTCCGATATGTGTCATGACTTTGGTGACAAGTGGGGGGGAATTTCTAGACGCAGAGGAATCGGAACTAGGCACATCTATTCTTCTTAATGAAGCCATGAGTTTTTGATAGACGAACGCAGTATCTCTATTTTCGTCTTGTAATCTAGATCCAGTTTCTAAATCAGAACTCGTATAGTCTGATGAATCATAAGAATCGCTCCACGTGTCTTCGCTACTTAAATATTCAACAATTTCTTTAACCTGTTCATCTCTAATACCAGGCACAGTTTTCATTAATCTAGTTAATTCAGATTCAAATTTTACCAGCTGTGGTGGTTTGCTCTTTTCTCCGGGTACTTCTGGTTTTGGTTGGTTTGCGAGCATTGTTTTAAAAAAGGCCCTCATTTTAGACATCATCAAATTGGTTTCTTCGTCAGAACTCCAATTATTAAAGCTGTCGGTTCTTGTTAAATTTTCACTACTATTTGGTTTTTGATTATTTTCTGTCACCGGAACTGTTAATATTTCTTCCGTTACAATAATATTTTCTGTTATATTATCCAATTTATCATCTACAGTACTAGGACTTTCCACATTTTCTTCAGTTTCTAATGCTTCCAAAGTCGGAGCAGTTACAACGGATCTCTTCTTCTTTTTTCCTCTTTTGACAGTATCAAACTGACCGTCACTTTTTTCAAACAATACAGACTCGTCATTTGAATCTGAACTTGTTGATGAGTCTTCGTGGTCTAATTGGATTTCAACTTGTTGTTCAGATTCTGTAAGATTGTCCAATGAAGAATGTTGACGTCCTGTTCCCCTAGCTCTGACTAATCGTTTACGCCTTTGCTCAGGACTGTGTTCTGGGCTGTCACTTCCAACACTACCGTCAGAATCCGGACGATCAAAGCCCATGAATTCACTTAAGAAATATCGTTCTAGTCTAGAACCAGCAACATCTGAGACTATTTGTTGTGGTTCGATGCTATCTAGAGATTCTAGACCTTCACTTATAATGGAACTTGTTTCAGAATTCGCATCTGTATTCCTACTAGTATCAAGATCTTTATCACCACAAAGGCCAAAGAAAAAATATTTTTCTAATTCGGTCTGGTTGTTCCGGTCAGACTCTACTTCACTTTCCTCGCAACTTTCTTCAACAATGGTGTGCAATGTAAAATCCAAAGCAGATCTTCTGTACTCAGGTTCTTCCTCAAACGACATTTCTTCGCCTTCAGATGACTCATTTTTGAAATCATCCCTATCCAAGTCTTCAACCCAAGAATCATCATCGGCTAACCCTTCTTCCAGCGCAATTACAGCCGACAATGTATCACCACCCGTTACGACTTTCACTTCGCTGTCATCAACCGGTTCTGACGTGTCAAGCGTGAGTTTAAATCCTTTATCTTCGACGACAACGGGTATTATTTTGGTCGTGTCGGTGGTGATCACGTTTACGGACGGTTTATCGTCTTGAGTGATCATTATCAAGCTGGTAAACTTGCCACTCAAGTTTGCGGCGTTGGCGACAGCGGAGGATTCGTCGACGGATATCTGTTCCATGGATTCGGTGCCGGAAAACTCGTCAGACGCACTGCTGTTGCCGGTGGCACACTTGACCGCGGCCGCCGAGTTCAGAATGCTGGATAACTTTACGTTGCACCCGTCGTCTTCGTCTTCATCGTCGTCGTCCTCGTCGTCCGGACTGTCGTTTACGTCGTACGACATGGCGATGTGCTGCGCGTCCGAATCGTCGGAGTCGTCGGACGGAGACGAAGACGACGAGTAATATCCGATCTCGCCGTCGCGATCATCGTCGCCACACGCGACGGAAGGCGATTTCGCGTCGAGGGCGGCCGCGCGGGTCGAGTACATGGTGAGTACAGCACCCTCGTCGACAGCCGCCGCGGGAGGTTCCGGCATCTCCACAACAATACAACCGGCGCCTTTGTTGCCGTTCACATGTTCGGCGGTCGCAGCGGTCGCAGCGCCCTCCCTGTCGCGGAAGTACTCGGTCAAAACGTTGGCGAACGCGGTGGTGAGCGTGCTGGGCGCGCGCTCCGGCGGTATCACGATCGGCACTGGCACGAACACGGGGAACGGCAACACGACCGGAACGAACGTTGTTGTGCGCGCGTCGGTCTCGCTCGGTTTACTAGCACTGCCACCGTCACCGCAGCCGGTTAGCCGGTCGTCGTCGGCGGCACCAATACTACCGGTACCTGCGCCACCTGCCGCCTGAAGTCGCTGCTGTGTTTGTTGCTGTTGCTGTTGTTGTTGTTGTTGCTGTGTCGGTTGCGGCTGGCCGTTATCGTCGTCTAGTCCGGCCATAAAATAGTCCCAATCGCAATCGTCTTCGGCCGACAGGCTGGACGATGTTTGCCGGCCGCCACCACCGCCGCCGTCATCCGACGACCAGTCGGTTCCGTTCAGGAACACTAACCGATAGTCATCCTTGGTACGGCTGCTGACGGTGCTCGAGCAAATGTCTTCATATAGGAAAGGGTCCCGCCGAAGAAAACGCCGACTCCGTGGTGGCGTGACCCCTGCAACAACGACAAAAATATAAAGCAATGAGAAATCATTTATTATTAAGAAACCGTTTTGTAAGCTTATTTTACAATCGACAACAATTATTGTACTATATAGCATTTAAACATCAGATTACAAAATGTCAACTCATATGATTTATTTTTAATTTTTTTAAATCAAATCTTTTAATCCGTTTTATTTACACGAAATGCATAAGAAATATTTAAAGACAAACTTATATTACACATTTTATTACTATTACGTTAGAATCTGTCAAATATTTTTTACTATACTCAATCATCTAATTAAACATCTATACGATCCTGTAATAAAAACTAAATATATTACTACCGGTGTTTTATATGGAATTATAAAAACATCATGTAAAATTAAAAAAAGTAAAAAAAATATTGAAGCATAAACCTAATAATTACACACGTTAATATAATATTGAGTAGGTGGCAAAAAAAAAAAATGTTACATTGTTTAGCTAATTACATCATAATTTAAATTTCAAGTTATAAAAAATATGTATATGCTTTTAAGACAAAATGTTTATAATTAATATTGTTGGTCAGGAGATTTTGTTCTTTATTATTTTGAAAAGGGTAATTACTTTTTCACTCTATTAGTTTATGTGAAAGGCTTCAAATTTAATTATATTTTAACCAATACTAAATATTGTAAAAATCTACATGGTCAAACGACTTTCGATTTTTTTTAAATATAAAACCCGTTTAATGTGAAATAGTGAAAGAAGTCACAGGGTGAAATTGTTATGTTTTGAAGACCTCAGGGCCTATATTTGTCTTTGATATTTTTAATATTTAATCGTTGTGAAACTTGAAATACATCATTAGTTTTTAGCCGATAAGCAAATATTAAAAAAAATTTCAAACAAATTTCAAATGTATTTAATTTACTTTAAATATATATTTTAATACAAGTACACAATACTAGTTAAAAGTAAAATCTAAAAATGTAATTTAATGTTATACAATATATTAAAATTGGCTTAAAACAAAGTTAAGGAGAAGTTTTAAATAATTTTCCGTTTATGAATAGTTAAAACACAAAAATTTTTTATTTAATGAATTATTATTTTCATATTAAAATAATAGTCATTACAGTTGGGTAATACAAATAAATAATACAATCATTACGTCTCCTTATAGTCCTAGGGCTGTGCTTGAGGAGAGAGTAACTAAATACAAACAATTAGATCATTAGTGACTATAGAATCATTTTGTTTATATATAATAGTATTAATAAAATTGATAATAAATAAGAAAAAAAATAAATGATAAGAAAAAAAGAAAAAATGTATAATAAAAAAAAAAAATTAATATTTACATTACGTGATAACCAATAACTAAGGTAGTATACAAACACGTAACGTAAAAATATTTATAGTAAGAAAATAGTATTAATATGTTTTTAATCATTTTAAAATTTTTGAAATTATAAGTGTTAATATTATATTTAATGAGAAATTGAATGAATCTATAACTAGGGATTTGTTTCCCTGTATTTATTTCATCTTATTTGTGAAAATGTTATAATATAATTACAAAGAAATATTAATTCAATTTCGATGTTAACTAGTTGTTCATAAAAAAAATTTACCATGTGATTGTAATTGATGTATTTTAAAAATCTAAGAACATAATATGCATATTATATTACATCAAAGACCACACAAGCACAACGTTATTATATTCTTTGGTTTTGGCTTACAATAGTTACGGAATCATATGACATCGATCATAGACCGGAAATCGGAGAATAGACACCATTTGGCGGCATAATGAATTTTTAAAAATGAAACGTTAAAAAAAAAAAATTTGTACAAACACAATTGATACGTTACCAAAGAAAAGTACTCACATTAGGGGAGGTGCGCAGTGGGACGGAACTCCCTTATTTATTTTTTACGTATCCGAACTATATTTGTTTATTGGGATGGGGGGACGTGACAATCTAGTACTCAACATTTTTTTTTTTATTAAAATATGAAGTTAAATTACTGTAACGTATAATTAATTTTATTATTTTTATTACTTTTTTACTTTTATTATCTTTCATTATTTTTTATGGTTGTTTAAATCATATTGTATGGTCTTATATATTTTTTTATATTTTGTTTATATGATACCACCATAAACCTCATACATATGTGGTCTGTGTATACTATAAATATATGCAGCTGAAATGTAGTATTCAAAATTCAGGTAATACTTGATTTTTCCCAATTTGAACACTAAGAGTATATATGAAGACAGTACAAAATCTAGGGGGGGAGGCGATCCGGGACCCATGCCCCGTGTGCTAATCATAGAGGGACGCAAATTTCAAATTTTAAACTCATCATTTTTATTACATTTTAATTTTTTTTTTTTAAACAAATTGAATCTTTTGTATTGAATTACGCAAGTATTTCAAATCAAATAGTTTTAATTCATAATAGTCACACAGGTAAAGGTTAAGATATCTGTCATTTTATGTCATATTATACTTATTTACTTATTACTAATTTAATAATAAATTTACTTTTAATTTTATAATTTTGATAAAAATAGCCAAAAACATAACCGGGCCACTCTACAATTAATATAAACCAATTTTGTATACTTGTATTGGTTAGTCATAGACGAACTAATTGGACAACGATAAGTTGATAACAAAGCATTGCGTATTCATATGTGTATTTTCTGCTATTTAAAACAAATATATACTATTTTTAACAGTTGTACTTATTTATTATAATAGTGTTTATAAGCGTTTAACGTCACTTCACTGTTCACTGGATAGTATCTAATGAATGTGTGTGATAATGTGAAAAGGGAATGTTCATATTTAATTAAATATTTATTTATATTTATTTAATATATGTTTATTTTTCACACGAAATGCAAAATGAATTTTTAGAAATTATTGCAAATTAAGTTAGAAATACAATTTTATCAAAAATTAAAAGCGCTACATATTATTCATTATTATTTGATTGCACGCCAGATATCTCACATGAAGAGCAAATGTCTTAAGTTAATCGTTATTTTGTTGTAAATGAAAATGGATGTGAAATAGTGGAAAGTTTTCTAGGTTTTTTACAAGTTTTTCAAAAAACTGGCGAGGTAATAACAGAAGATATTTTGAGAAGCTTGTCTAATCATAATATTGATTTATCCTACTATCGCAGTCAATCATATGACAATGGAGGTAATATAGCTGGGAAATAGAAAGATGTTCAAACTAGTATCAGTTCTATTAACTCTTTGGCTAGGTTTATTCCTTGTACGGCATACAGTCTAAACATAGTAGGCTTATATGCCGCTAAATATTCATCAGAATTAGAAAAATTCTTTGGTATTGTTCAAAAATTGTTCAATTCTTTCTCTAGATGGGATATTCTAAAAGAACATCTTAAATTTTCATTGAAAGATTACAGTATGATATCAGATGGTCCACAAAGGAACGCGCTGTTAAATCATTATATTTGCAGTTAGCCCAAGTTATTCATGTTTGTAAGTTACTTAAAAATAGTAATTTATGTGAAGAAGCAAGTGTTGAATTAAATGTTTTGTTAAAAAGGATAACAAATTTTAATTTTATATGTATGTTAATGATATGAAATAAAATATTAATTGCAATTTATAGAGTGGATGTGATTTTACAAAAACAGAACATTACAATAGATACAGCGACTTAACATTTAAAAGGTCTGAAACATTTTATTGAGAAATTTAGGGAAGAAGGTATTGAAGAAGCACTTGATGAATCAAAACAAAAATAAACTGAGCTATAAATAAAATCGATATTTCCATCGATTCGAGTTAGAAAAAAGAAAAAAATATCTGGTAAATTAGCGGAGGACGAATCATCAACATTATCCGAAGAAAATAAATTTAAAATTTTAATGAAAAAGGTCTGTGATAGAATCTTGAACGGTTTAAAAGAAAGATTTGACTCCATTGATGAAGATGTAAATTTTTCTTTTTTAGATGAAAAGTTTTTATTTAGTATGCCAACAATTCAACTAAAAAAAAAACATGTTATGGACTTTTGTATAAAATATGAAAAAGATAATGACACAAATGAATTAATTTTAGAATTGGATAGCTTTACTCAACATGTGATTCAATTGGATAGTAAATTAATAAATACTCGTTCACATGAAATTTTAAATTTTATTCTTAAAAATGGTCTTCAAGATGCTTATCCCAACATATTTACAACCTATCAAATATTTTTGACATTGCCCGTAACATCGACATTTTATGAACGTAATTTTAATAAACTGAAACTAATTAAATCATATTTAAGATCAACTACAAAATAAACAAGGTTAAATTCCCTGTCAATGATATCCATTGAGCACGAAGTTGCTAAATTCATAAATTATGAAGATATCATTAACAAATTCGCGTCAAAAAGATCAAGAAAAGTTAATATTTAATAGAAACAAGAAAATTATTATTTTACTCTTTAGATTCTAATGCATCATTAAATTATGATACAGGTTAAAATATAGGTTCTAAATTATTTGTTTTTTATTGAAAATAAATATTATCATAATACATACATATTAAATATATGCATAATTTCTTTATTGATTATGTAAATATTTAAAATTTAAATCGCCCATAATAACCCGTATTCTGATACACTTTAGGACATATGCATTTTTTATTGGTAATTTTTAGGAGCGCTAATATTATGTTGTGCCCCGGGTTACATAATTTGTAGATATGGTACTGTATGAAGATGATTTAGGTGAAAGGTTAATTATAAGATCCAATCGAATATTATTTAAGTATCTACTCGTATGTTACCTACATTGTTTAAAATTTGTTTAATTATAGACTTCTATGAAAAACAAATTATTAGTCCTTAATTTGGTTTTTCTGTATATTTTTTATTAGTGCCTATATGAAAATGTGTTTCTCTTTATTCAAAATAGTTCACCATTTTTAGTGAAAATTTAAATACTTAGTAGATTGTCTTGGTTAGTTGT